TGGGCCCCGTCATTACTTTAGTCCCAAAATTCTGGGTCAGTGAGGTTATTTCATACCCTGCATTGCATTTTCTCAAATTACTGTTTTTTGTCTCTCTTAAAAACCAAGCAGAATAGATAGCATCATTATAACTCTCTATTATCTATTTATTATAATTGTGACTTCTTATTCTTTCCTCGTTTTTTATGCACCTGTAGATATCTAATTGCATTACACTTGACACATTACATGTTTCCACTTAGAAAGGTCACCACAAGGGCTGATTGCAATTCATAAAACTTGACTTATGGGTGTCTAACTGTTATCCACAGTGGTTACATCATGTACTGGCTGTGCAACATAAAAACTAAATAAAAGCTCTTTTGGAAATGAAGCTCTTTTGCACTCAATCAGCTATGAAAAACAAGAGGGCTTTTGCTCAATCTTTAGCCCTTTAGGAAATGAAAAAGGCTTGACCTCAACTCAGACCAGAGGCTTTGGGGGTGACACAGGTCACTAGAGGTCAATAAAAAAAGGTGATCCTCGAGGACAGCGGGACTCGGGCGGGGGATTCAGCAGTCTGTCCAGAGAGGTCACCTGCTGAGTAGAAGAGAAGAAGATGGTGTGATCTCAGCTGCAGGGGAATCTGTGATTGACCAGTATTCACCATTACTCTGTCAAACCACTGCAACTTCACCTTTCCTCTGTTCACACCAAAAGAAACAGATGGTTGATATTAAAAACTTGGTAACACTTTATAATATGAGGATGTTAAACCCCTGTAATTAAATGGAATTGGATTATATTTTATTAGAAATTACAACAGAAATATGTTTATATACAAGTACTTACAGGCAAGTAAACTATTACAGGCAGGTAACAAGTCAGGTTTAGACTGACACTGTAAGTCATTTTAACTACTGCAGAATTTCTCTGTAATTTGGTGCTGGTATGCTATATTTTGGGGGTGCATGTCATAAAGTGGCTTAACCTTGCCTAACTTGCAGGTATTTCACAGGAAAGGAGACACAAATTATACTGTCAGTAATTTTAAATCTGTAATTTCCTGAAAATATAGCAGAAAAGCTTTATTATGAAGAGCATTTATTTTAAAACATTTTTATTTAATATTCATTAGGAATTTTCTGTTATTCAATTGTCTTTTTTTGTTACATTGTACTTAAAATTACAATTTAATTAGTGTCTCCTTTCCTGTAAAACACCTAGAAGATGGTCAAGGTTAAGCCACTCTATAACATGGCCTATAGTGTTCTAGTGTTAAATAACAGAGAAATTACGCACTATTTAAATTTACTTACAGTAAAATTATGTCTTTGTTTCCTGTAACCTGACTTGTTACCCCCTTATTTTAGTGTACCTACCTTTAACTATTTGAAAGTAAATATAATTACGTCATAATTTCAAATAAAATACATTGAACTCCATTTCATTATAGTGGAATTACAGCCTTAGCCACAAGCCGTATTATAGAGTCTAACCAAAAACTCATAGTATCTCGCATTGAAAATACTTCACTCACTAAACTATCATTAGTGAGTATTTAAAAAAAAAAAAACATCAGAAAAAGAGTCCACAAAGTCGAAAAAGTGTTTAGTCACTTTTACTTCAATGTTTTCATAGGTCATAATTTTAATACTTTCATATATATTGTTCTATGGTATAAAGTGCAACCATACATTGTCATGGTTTAAAAACTAATTCTACAATAGGTAGAATACCTTAAACTCTAAAAGACTGTCTTAAATGAGTGTGTTCTAGACCCTTAATCTTAATTAGAGTTTGTGTCTTCCATCTTCAGGCACTGACACCACACAGAAATCATCCAATAATTAGCTGGTATGATCATCTGCTTGAGAGAAAAATGCTTTTTTAATTGTGTACCTATTGTAAAAAATGACATTTCTATAGTGGAAAATCAAGAGCCTTTCTGTCATTTCATTGTTCATCTAGTACTTATTTATTCTAGTGTAGGATAATTGGCTGTGTGGGATGGTTTTTTTTTTTATATGTAGCCAAAGCAGAAAATACAGTTATACATACAGTTTCACATTTTTCACCAGATTGAAGTCTTTGTCGGGCCATTTCTGGCCCCTGGGAGTTAAGTTTGACATCCCTGCATTAAGTGTCTGTTAAAGATAAAAAAAAATCGATTACAGGGATATTATCCAAGCTAATAGTTACGGGGTGATTGTGGGGGTATAGGTATGAGTGTAGTGCGCATGATGTGTAAAGAACATTCCCTCAATTTTCTCATCATTTGCTATATATGTGTATTTTATACAAGTTTTGTATAAAAGCACAATAACACAATAGTCAAGTTAGGCCTGTACTAGTACCACATGGATATTAACATCTGAGCAGTGAGTCTTGATTGGCTGAATCATTTCCTCCTGTCTCTTGGCCCTGTTTCCTCTCTCCACTGCGTTCTCAAACAAAGGCATAAAATGTCCCCAAAGGTTATCTTTAAAAACAAACAATTATTATTTTTTAATCTCTAACTGATGATCTTTGACAAGACAACTCACAGCTTGGCAACCTGGGCACTCCTGCTCCATTTAGGTGGAGGTTTTAGTGGGAAAACAAAGTGTTTGGCAGGACACTGATGTTGCTCTTTGGCTAAGTGTGGCTGACAGCCGCTTCCTCTGTATGGCCAGAGGGTCACTCTGGGTAACATGCTCTTCTGGGGGACACTCAGTCTCTGCCTGTGGAGGCGATTAGAGGGGTGAGCTGACCTCGTTCTCAGAGAGGCTGGTGTGTTTTGAGTAAACACTTGATGCAAGACAAAAACACTGGTTACAAACAAGGCCAACCTTCAGGCCATGATCCCATTGTTTCCCCATTACTCCTGAACAGGCATGAGAGAGGAAAGCATTTACTCTGAGTCCCTGAGCTGCAGGGAGTCCTTGTGCAGTTAGCAGCACTGTGTCTGTATGTATCTCACAGAGCCAGGTCACAGCCTCCCAGGTGCCCACAGGTCACTGCCATTAGCTAAAAAGCCACATTTTACTAAAATCAGCATTAAAAGGCATGCACAGGTGAATGGGGAGGAATAGTAAAATGCCTTGTTTTTATACAGCAAACAGAAAACACAAGAAAAATACAACACCAGCTGAGGAACAGCTGAAATAAGTCAAAACCTTAAATGAAAAAAGAAATTCTGCACCTGAAATGGTAGAACCACAAACTTGAAAAGCAATACTGCCATAGCATGGGACGATGGGGATACTGCCAGGACGCTAAACGGTAAATTATCAGCACAACGGGGTATTAATATACTATAGACTACTGATACAAAAAGATACTGAGTGAAGTTGTTAAATAAATTGCATTACTAAGACTGATCAGTGTGTGGAACTAGATTAAAGAATAAGAAGTGGATTTAGGGGGGCGGGTGTACATGAAGTTAACCTAATGTCAGTTTAGAAACCACTAACGTTACCAGCCAAGGCTTTATCTGCAGAGCTCAGAAAATCACTTCCTGAACACCAGGCTCTGCAGAGCTGCGTAAACACTAATAATATAACGAACATAAAATGTGTCTCCATAGTGAAGACATAACCCTGCTTGCTTAGCAAACTTAAACAAAAGCATAAAATCTTCACGTCCGAGAATTTCTTTGGCATTTTTGGTGAAATGAAAACACTGAAATTATTAACTGGCTGTCACACTTCCAGAGGTGATGAGGTGTTTGTGTTGTATAATCCAACAGCCGCTGCTGGCAGCGCTCTTGGACGCTGATTCCAAAGGTCAAACTATAATCTAGTGTCAGTTTTTAAGCATCACCACACCAACAACACTAACCTGGTAGTATTCACACAGTTTGAGCACACCTTGCTCTGTGGACGTCCCCCTGGTTCCACATAATAAACCCACGGGCTTTAGGACCTACAAGGTCTGCCCTGTGAGGACGGTCTTGTTTTTGTCCGTTACGTTCATGCATGTAATCATTGATTGTGCCTATTGTGACAGGCAGATTTACCATCTGTAGAGTCCCATGGGGCTGATAGGCCTACTGCTGTCTCCCTGCAGACTTTAAGGAATTCCCCTTTAATTTCCTGCAGAAGTTTAATCTCAGCCTGGTTTCAAATGTGATCCTGGTATAAAGAACCATACCTGACAGAGAAAGAGTTAAGAAGTTAGAAAAAGTCATAAATAATTTCTCATAATATGCAAAGTTATACAGTTTTCAGCTTTTTTTGTTTGTGTGTTTGTTTTTTTTATTAATTGTATTTTCCATTATTCCATTACAGAATTGTGCATGCCGCAGTTTTTTTGTGTCTTTTTTTTTTTTTTTTTTTTTTTTAGACTTGGTCTCCAGACAAGTGTAAGCGTTTGCCGCCTCCTGCTGCAGCCCCTGTCCTCCCTACCCGCCTCCCCGGGTCTTTTTCCCACTGCCGAGGGGAGCGGGACGCGGCCACAGCAGCGGGAAGCAAATTATCTACAAGTACATCCCTAAAAAAAAAAAAAAGTTGACACTCACATACACAGATACCACCACAAGCAGCCACTCACAACGTCTTAAGACCCGCACGAAGGAGTTACTGGGAATGACCTCGCAGGAGGACAGGTGGAGCAAAATGGATCGTTGATGATTTCATTTTTATTTTTTTTATTTTTTTGTTTTCAGTTGGTTTTATTTTGCTCAGCTGGAATCAAAAATACTTTCAAACACTAACTGAACAGGTTTCAGGCCTGAACTTGTGTGTTTTGTTTTACTGAGACGCTCTTAGCGCACCTGTGTACCCCTGGACAAAAAAGTGCACAGGGGCTCGTCTGTTCAATAATCATTCAATGAGAAGACTGCGGTGTATGGATCGAGTATGGCCTGACTTTTGACGCAACAAACGTGTGTTTGACTACTGGATGTATTAAGGAGCGCACCACGAGCGCACAAAATCCACAGAAACAGAAAATAAACTCTCCACGTTGCTACTTAAGCACTTGCTGCTGAAAGTGTGAATGTTACAAGGGTTTACGAGAGACACTGCATTAACAACAGCTGTCAAACTCATGGGATCCTGCCCCCTGCACCAGTGGGAGCGCCGCTGAGGTCTCCACTGCGCATGTCAGAGCGCTGGACAGCTCCAGAGAGGGAAATTTAAAAACGGTTTTTCGAGAATCAAGTGCAATACAGTACAGCGGCTCAGCAGCGGCTCTCACATTCTTCAGTATCAACCAAAAACAGGTGATTGTTTTCCTGATTTCTCTCTTTCAGCAACACAGTCTTTGTCGGGTTGTTAGTTGTGTGAAGCCAGCTGTCATGTAAACGATTTTTAGTGTGTAACTGTAATTTCTATAGCTGGATTTATAATTAGCCACTCAAATCTAGACTGAAACTAACATTTGTACTGTGCACTTAGTAAAGCACACGGTACAAAAGCACAGTGGGCTTTTTCTTTTAATTAAAAAAATATATAAACAGCTTAATCTACATATTTTTGACTCTGTAATCTAATTACTGAGAAACACTAAACTGAGCTTCAGATGCATGCAGGTGACCAACGCTAATTTTATGCTTTCGTTTATTATTATATTAGCTGCTTATCAAACCTTTAATCAACCTTCAAAACATGGAGCAACTTTCTATTTTCTACAACTGCACGTGCTCATGTTCATTTACTTGTATTTTAAGCAATATTATCTATATTAAAAATGTTATTTCTGTATAGCTTGTTTATTGACACTTGTTTATTGAAGATTCACTAAATCACAAACTGAAGTGCATGCTGTTTTTGTTTAGTGTATTTTACTGCAGAGATACTACATATCCCAGGAAATGATAGAAGGAGGAATAACTTCCAGGATGTCAGGAATAACTGAGAATGCTGGACATCATCCGTCTCCACAGGATTACAGGTAGGACAAAACCATTTTCAGCCATATTAGAACAAGAGTTTCCAAAATTTTAGCCTTAAATAATGTGGGGGGGGTTTTCTTATTATATAAAACACTACGAGAGTCCCTAATAGATCAAATCCATATTTTTCTGACTTTATGATTTTGAAATGGTTGTGCAGCAAACTTTGTAGTCCACTGTGTTTAATCTAATGGTAGATGGACAGCTCTTTTTGTGCATGGGGGGTTGCATGAAGGAGGAGAGAGGGACAAAATCCCAAAGAATAAATGATTTTCAGTCTGAATGGATCTGTCAGAAACCATCAGCTCTGTTTACACTCCCGCTGTCGCCGCACGGAGAGCCTGAATCTCTTGGTTTGCCAGCTCAGGGGGAGATGGGGCGCTCTGGGTCACCAGTGTGCACAAGTGGCTCCCAATTAGAAAAGGAGGGATGGGGGAGGAAGGAAAGGAGGGGGGAGGCACAGTGTTGATGTTGAATTTCTGCAAAGACATGGATGATAGATGGAAACACCAGCTCAACATGTTTTGCATCAGCGAGCATTTTCTATGCTTGACTAGTGAGGAAAGAAGGGAAGTGGGATTGTCCTAAGTGTGTCATCTATTCTTTGTTTTTTATCAGTAGTTGTTCTCCACAGATGATGGATGATTGCAGGAAATATTTTTTTTCTTCAAGCAAAAGTGTAATAGGCCAGCTCTGGAAAACCTACAAAATTGCTGATGCATCTTTTGTTGCTTCTGAAATTGTACTTGAAGATTTGTTTTTCAGCCTTCAACACAAAAAAACAAACAAAAGGGACAAAGAAAGGTTAACTAGCTTCAACCTTTGTGGATGTGGATGCAAGGTGTTTGACAACGTGCGCTGCTGATTCTTGGCCGTAATGATGTCACTCATTCAGATGGCCGACATAGAACCCTGACCTCAAACTACACTTGCAGCCCCCCTTTGGCCTGAGGCTCCGTTGATTTCCCCGATAAGGGCTGGGGGGTGATGGAGGGGGTTGGGGGGCTGTGGGGATAGAGGCTGGAAAGGGACAGGGAAGCAGATGGCATCCTATTTGTCCCTCTTATGTGAGGGCTGTCATTCCAACAGATTAATGCAAGGGCGGGTAAAGAAAAGAAATGACAGAGACAATCAAGGAAGGGTCTGGAGAAGACAATGGAGCCACGTGCCACTGGGCAGATTTGTCGTTTAGGACACAATAGGTGATCATTTTTCAATAGACAAGGCCAACTGTTGCAGGCAACATGTGCTGCTGTCCCATGTTTGAAACGATCTCTTGCGTTGTTTACTTATGATTCAGCCAATGGCTAAGGCGAGACCGTGGTCACCTGACACAGGGTTGATTTTTTTTATTAGGAGATTTGGTGTGTGTCAATGGAGGGATTGGGGGGGGGGGGGGGGTTCCTGCACTGTCCACAGACACACAAAGTAACTGAATAGCATGTGTTGTCATAGCGACCCCAATTACTGAACCCTTGCACAGTAAGTGTGTGTGCAGAGAAGACTGGAGAGGATTCAAGAGGATTCCTCTCTTTTCTTTCCTTCTCTTCAGGGCTCGCCATAATAAAAGACACAATAACTGAAAGTTGATTGATACTGGTAGTGCTCTGGGCAAACAGAAAGCCTGAATTAATCCAGTTTCTAAGTTTAAATGTATTAAATGATTGACTGAAAACTGTTCTTTGATGAAAAGTAATGTGTATGAAATGATTTTTTTTGTTTGTTTGTTTGTTTGTTTGTTTTGTAAATTTGCATAGCAGAAGAATCCAGAATTAAAAGGCGAGAGGGAAACAAAGATCATTGCGCCACTCGAGTAACACAACAAAACCAAAAAATCCACGATAATGTAAACAGATGATTTGCTGTGAATGAAAAGCGTATTTAAGTCCCTCTTTGTTGATTAAAACTGTCACTGTTAAATAACACTTGTAGGTAATCTTCTTATGGTAAATCCTCAATGGTTAATACGCACTCACCGAGCAGCTTTCATCCCCACATGTACCCCACATTCAGACTCATTATAGAGGTTTTGTCTGAAGGACAGGATGTTGCATCGAGTGTTTAGATTTAAATTCCACTTGTGGTCTGTGTGTGTCTGGGCTGACAGCCGTGTTAACCCTGCAAACCTCCCCCTCTTCCCTCCCCTCCTGAAGGCTTCTGACCACGGACCCCTCCCAACTGAGGGAGGAGGACCTCCCTGGGGACCTGCAGTCTCTGTCATGGCTCACCTCTGTGGATGTGCCCCGGCTGCAGCAGATGGCTGATAGCAGAGGCCACAGCAATGGGCCCTCCCAGGGCAGCTTGCTGGAGCAACAGACAGGTAAGGTGACAGGGAGGGGACAGTGCAACATTCAAAATCTGATAAAACTCTCTGATTGGATAGATCAGGGCTACTGGATTCTTCTGGTTCGTTGTTTTCTTTGCAAAAGTTATAGAGGACCCCCTCAAAAGATCAAGGTTGCTTTGGTGCCACTGGGGATTGCCCATCTATAAATCTACAATCACAGAAATAGTTAATCTTAGAGATTACAATGTTTTGATACCTATGGTGATCAGGTCTAAACTCTCAGTTTTTCCTCAGCCCTGTATAAACTTGTTGACTAAACAAGACCAGCCACTATGTCAAAGTAAAGTTATTGTTTTTTTCTGTAAAGGCCTATAAATGACATATGTAGCACTAAATTCTGTTTTAAAGCCCCCTGTTAGGCTCATATTCTGGAAACTGACTCGAGTAGTTTTGCATGGTTTCATATTTCAGCTGATATCTGATTCAGACTTGATCTCTTCTTCAAGAGATCAAGTCCAGTTTCTCCTTATTGGCTGCCCCTTGCCTGCTTCTACAAACAGAACCCAGTGCTTGTAAGCCCAGCCTCCTTCTCTACCATATAAGGATAAAATCCAATCAACTCCACACCAGGGTCCAGATTAAAGTAGCCTGAGGTCTTCATGTAAAACTTTGGTCTTTTTATAAAAAAATAAAAATAAAAAATCATCCACCAGAGAAAAGTTCACCAACTTCCTTTTATAATGTCAGTGTAAAAAAAAAAAAAATCAGAGCTTTGCTTCTGAACACTTATCTTGATATGTGAGCTTCATATGTATGGTATAAATACTACTGAGCTTCATTTTACCATCACTGGTTACAGAAAATGTCTTCCAAATAATTCATGAGCACAACATCTGCATGAAAAACAGGGAACTCTGACATCTGTTTGCCATTACAGCTCAGATGAACAACATGACTATGACCACAAGTCAGGGGTCCATGCTCCACCTCCAGAGCAATATGCAGCACAGCCCTCTGGGAATCAGTATCATCAACACCCACAGTGGAAATGTAAGTTTTCACGGGACAGTAAGAAAGTGTATTTTATGTTAGACAGTGCTTACTTTAATATAAAATGACCTGTCTCCATGTTTATTTCCCAGATGTCTCCGTTCTCAATGAATGGGCTGCCTTCTCCAGGATACCAGTGCCCTACCTCAGTCTACCAACCCACATCCCAGCAGGTGTACTCTTTAAGCCAAACTGGACAGCAGGTATTATACGTTAAACTAATGAAAATACTTGTTTTTATGGTTTAAAAAAAAGGTCATCAGGTCCTCAGTATTCACACCTCTCTCTCTCTCTCTCTCTCTCAGTGTACCACTGGTGGACTCTATAGCAATGTCTCATTCAACAACCAAAGTCTATTCACACAACCTCGCCTGGCTCCACAAGAACAGGAGCTGCAGCCGAAGTCTTTCCCCAAGCCAATCTACTCTTACAGGTCAGTGCTCAAAACCTTACTTAAAATAAAAATATTCACAACTAAACATTTTTAGCTGTTGGCACAAAATTTATGACTTATGAATCGCAAAGTGTGCAAGTGTCCATATTTCTACCTCAGTTCGCTTGGAAATGTGTTTTTGTCCCCTCCCTCAGCTGTTTGATTGCCATGGCTCTGAAGAACAGCAAAACTGGCAGCCTCCCAGTCAGTGAGATCTATAGCTTTATGAAGGAACACTTCCCTTATTTCAAGGTACAGTACTCTGAATGTTATCAAATAAGGCTAAAACTAGAACTTGCCTGTAAATAAGAAGCGGCTCTACCTCTTTGCTTGCAGACTGCACCTGATGGATGGAAGAATTCAGTCAGACACAACCTCTCCTTAAACAAATGCTTCGAAAAGGTGGAGAACAAGACGAGCAGCTCATCCCGTAAGGGCTGCTTATGGGCATTGAACCCCGCCAAAATTGACAAGATGGAAGAAGAGATGCAGAAGTGGAAACGCAAGGACCTCCCAGCCATTCGGCGCAGCATGGCTAACCCTGGTCAGAAATGTATTTTGTTAAATATAAAAGACCAAACAGTTAATGAGGCAACAGGTCTGTCACAAATCTGACCAGGCCACACTTTTGCTTGACCTGACAGCCTGTCTTTGTCCTTACAGATGAGCTGGACAAGCTGATCACAGATCGCCCAGAGAACTGCAGACGAAAGCCTTTAGAGCCAGGCATGACCCGGCTGAACAGCTGTCCAAATGCCCTCCCACTGCCAGTCCCAGCCCAAATGCAACCTCAACCTATAGTCACGCTGTCCCTGCCGTGTTTACCCATGCACCAGCACCACCAGCTTCAGGCCCAGCTTCAGGCTCAGGCTCGACTGGCCCCCATGTCCCCTGCCCCAGCCCAGACTCCCCCTCTCCACACAGTCCCCGACCTGTCCCACAGTCCGCTCACCCAACAGCCCAGCAAACCCCCTGATGATTTCTACAACATGCAAGGGGACGCTCACACAGAGGTGGACGCTCTGGACCCGAGCATCATGGACTTTGCCCTGCAAGGTAACAACTTCTTCTAAAGTTAAGGCTTGGTATTTGTTTCCATGATAACTATGGTGTCATTACATGCTTACACCAACCTCTCCATCCATGTGCTCAGGTAATCTGTGGGAAGAAATGAAGGACGACAGCTTTAACCTGGATGCTTTAGGCACCTTCAGTAACTCGCCTCTCCGACTATCAGACTGTGACTTGGGAACAGCCAATCTCCCTCCCGTCTCCAGTGGCGCAAACCTGTCGCTGTCAGACGTGCAGGTGACGGGGCTCTACACCTACGCTTCCCAAGATGCCCTGTCTTCCCAGTACATGGGAGCACCATCTAACAGCAAGCCTATTGCCCTGCTCTGAACCAGCCAAACTGTTTCTAATAGATTCCACTGTCTGGATACTTTTAAAAGGAGGCCTGAAATCAAAGCCTAAATGTTGGTTTCTTCTGTCCGACTGAAAGTATCACAGCTGGAGAACCACCTGGAGTCCGCAGAAAAACTCACTGAGAAGTGAAAAAGAGACGACTGTAAGAAAGACAAAGCAAGACTGCAAGTATCTGGTTTTGCCAAGCAAAGACTGAAAGCCTGTATGAGAACACGAGTGTTAGTACACACCAGTTTTTCTACTGTTCACACTGCATTTTAAAGCCTTTCCATAAATGTAGCTCCCTTACTCTTGCCTGTTGTATTGTGCTAGACATTTTTGCTGTGATGTTTTATTTATATTTATAAAAAGACAGCTGGAGAAAGTAATGACTCTATCAATGTTTTTGCTGTATATATTTGAATGTTTCAAATTGCTATCACCACAGAAAAGCTTTCTGACTTCATTCCCAAATGTGAAGGTCTGCCAACACTTCCTGTTTATTCCAACACTTCCTGTTCACACATTATCATTTTACACATGGATTAACATTTCTGAAGGTCTGGTACATCTTACGTTCACTAACTTGATCATAATAAAAGTCAAATGGGTAAATAAAAGAAGCTTCTTCATATTTAAATACATCAATGATATTTATTAAAGTACAGCCTTTGGTAAAATACAAGTCATACAGTCATAGCAAAAATCGTTTATATACATTCAAATGAAACGTCACGGCTTGTGTTTCTGGTGTTTTAATCACAGGTAAGGCTTTTATGACCTTTTTGGCAATTACCATCTATTTTTCACAAAACCTGAGTTTTACAAATGAGGTGCTGAGTACACAGTGTCACACCATCGTTCATAATACTGTGCAAATCCACCTAAACATACCACAAACAGACTAGATGGACTGAAGTCAAACGTCAGGAGTAAAATCATAACCTGCTTGATAAAATAAGCTATTTTAATATTTAATATTCTTGATCGCAATAATAGTCAAACTTTTATTTATTGACTCAAAGTACAAGTAAGACAGAACTGACGGTTAACGGCGTTTTCTTTTGGTTTTATTTGAATAATTATCAAATTACTAACAGGCAGTTTAAAGCTTATTTTTAGACGGATTACATTCAAAAGTGAAAGCTCATTCCTGGTGTAATATCTTTAACAACGATAACTAGCACCGACATATTAAGTCTTCCATTTCATGAAGTCTGAATAACTTCAGGCTCATTAGACTGGAAATAGTCGAGTAAGGCAAATTCAACACTTAAACTTGTGCAGAAATACAGCAAAGTGAAATGTGCATCACAGTGATAGCCTGGGGGCTGGGAAACTGTGTTCCTGGACTGAGTGAGTGAGTGAGTGCATAAATGAACAATGTGAAAGACTAACATTTTCAAACGGGAAGGCACTCAGTAGAACAAAAGTTTAGGACACGCTCTCCTTGTGCACTATTTTTTTTAAAATACCTGAACTGTAATCTTAAACGCAAGATTCACCGAGTTTTGTTTTAGTTCATCCCGATAAGGCATCATATGTTAACTATCGCTGGTGCTGTCCATAGTCGCCAGTAGATGTGACAGCTTGGCCCTCTGAGACGGAGTGATGATGTGGCTCATTTGGATGATGCAGTCCATGGCTACATCAGGGTTGGCCTGGACCAGACTAGACACAAGGGGAAGTCGTCTTTTAAACATGTTCTCACACTGATGACTACAAGAAATGACAATAAAGCTTGTCTAAGAGAGTTCAGGCTGTGTGACTAATACTAATGTGTAATAGTAGTGTATGTATGTATGTATGTATGTATGTATGTATGTATGTATGTATGTATGTATGTATGTATGTATGTATGTAGTAGTGTACCAAACTATATTTGCATGTGGCTGGAGAAAATATTGTTTTCAGTGGCATCAATTATAATCAAGAAGGTCGGTTTGATCGTCTATCACCACCATCACTCCACAGGTATTAAATTACTTTGGCAAACTCAGAATGTAAGCGAGGCTTTCACAGAGTTTCCGGAAAAATACTGGGAACTGATTCAGGTTCCCTTAAAAATAATGCAACTCTGCAGGTAATTTTACTCAAACATGATTCTGACCAAAACACTTAATTATGTACACAGTCCAGCTCCTTTTATGAATTTATTGAGATGTAATAAACTAATGTTCTGTGTGTGTCTCCTTACCTGCAAATGTGTTTCAAAGTGTTTTCTCTTTTCAAGTATTTGATGTTCTCTCGAACAGCTGACCTGATGCCATCCTCTTGGGACAAATGCCTCTCAAGCCACTCAACTACTGCTTGATTATTATCCCAAAGGTAAGCCTGAAAAAGCATGAGAACATGTCTTTAAACCTATGAACAGTGATGCATGGAATATATAATGACTTGCTCATGATCTGTGATCCACAGCCAAAAAACACTTTACTAGGCATGACTCGGATGAGCAGTAAATAAGTCTCATAATTTCAGTTTGATGATTTAAAAATTTTGACAATTCAAAAATGTTAATGTAAATAAAGTAACCTACTCTTTAATACCTGCATTTTTCAAAAAAAAAAAGAAAAGGAAAAAAAAAACCCCCAAAAAAAACAAACAGAGCAAATTGAATTTTGCGCAGTAACTGCTGTTCTCACATACCTTCACTGTTCCCTCGGTTTCAACAAACCAGCGACGCAGCATGGACTGCATGTGCCCGTCGCTGAGATCCTTGTTGGCTTGTAGAATCTCACTCTTTACCACCTGCTCCAACAGGAGGCGACGTAGGCGCCAGTAGAAGAAGCTGCGAGCATTCTTCCAGTCCAAAATATCCTGTTAAGAGGATCAAAAGGGAGCAGTAGCATAACTTTGAAAAGCTTGGATTCCATTGTAATTCCTGGTCTCTCTCACACACACACACACACACACACACACAGTTCATGAAGTGCTGAAGTGCACACTCACATTAATGACCCCCTTCTCTTGCATCCGGCCTGGGGTGTCATGGAGATCAACAAACTGCACTGCCACCTGGTGGTAGATGGGCAACAGGAACTCCTCCCTCGCTTTGAGTTTTGCCTCCAACTCTTTGCACTCTTTGTCAGAAAGGTCTGGGGAAGCTTTTAAACAGAAAAGCTCTGAGTCAGCTCTCTTGTAATGGGGAAAAAAAAAAGTTCAAATATTTAGAAAGAGGCTTTACCGAGTTGCTCAGCCAGACTAGCATAGACCGAATCCAGCCTTTTCATGGTTTTCAGGAGGTCTTTCCTTCTGTATTTGATCTCCACTGTACCCTCAGCCTCCAACACGCCCCCTCTGAATAGAAAAAGCATACCCAGAAGCATAAACGTCAAACTTACCCTCAAAATATATCCATTTCTAAGATTTGAAGCGTTACTTTTCTTCATGTACCTGCTCTCTCTGTCAGCATAGAGCTCCATACACAGTGGGTTGATAGTAGGGTCTATCACCACCCAGGAACCCCCTCTCAGTTCAGCCTGTGGTGGGATGTACACCAGCACTGGTTGGCGGAAATCACGCAGAGCATCAACAATGTAGGCCCCAAACTTTAATATCTGGTCATACATGTCTGGAGAAAGGAAGACTTGATTAACACAACAGCGTTTGATAGTCCAGAATGCAAATATTTTCGCAGTTACACAGCTCTTTTTTTAAATGAAATGCAATAATGAATACTGCATTAAAAGTGCAGAGCTTCAGCTGTGGTTTATCAGATCATAATGAGACATGAAATAAAGTTAACATATTGCCCAGTATATCCACTATCCTTCCTCTGCACATGTCCAAACCATCTCAGCCTTGCTCTCTAACTGTGTCTCTAAATCAGTCAACCTGAGCTGTCGGTGTAATGTTCTCATTTCTAATCTTCACCATCTTGGTCTCTCTCAATGAAAGTCTGAATATTTCCAGCTAGGCCGCCTGCCTTTTTGTTAATGTCACCATCTCCAAACCCATCTATCCTTCGAGGTGCACACCTCAACACTGTGTCACCATCCTCATATATGTCCTGCACCACATGTATGAGACACTTCTCTCTAAACTGTTAAGCTTTGCTGTAAATATAACTTCATTATGCGATCCATACTTTTAATTTAAAAGTGCCTAAACAATAAAAAAATATCAGACTGTGCAAATGTCATGCTATCTGTTTGCAGAGTTTAGCATATTCATGGTGTACCCTTCATCCCCCCAGAGAAGCCCCTCCAGTTGGCAAACACTATGAGAGGCAGACGTTCACGGTTGAAGTCACAAATCGCCTGAGCCGTCTTAAAAGCTGAATCTGGAAACCACACCTGGCCCGCCTGCTGCAGGACCTAACATGAACACACAGAATATGGAGTTTAAATGCTCTTCAAATAAGAGTGATGGCTTTATTATACGGCAAAAATGCAAAGAGACATTCACTCACTTTAGATTCTGAATCCAAGTTGGCTGGATCTGCTGGCACAGTGAACTCAACCGTGCGAGTTTCAACAGCGATGACGCCGAGGGGGATTCCTCCTAACCTGTGTTCATTCAATTTGTGGTTAAGGTCTAGTTGCAATTTAGCATACATATAAAGTACGTTTCAAGTGCGCAGATTTACCGTGCTCTCCCAACCACCACTGTTTGAGCCCAAGAACTCAGGATCTCCATGAAAGAGCCATGGTCAAAGAATCCACTCTGCCAGGCACCTCTCACCACTAACAACACAAATGAAAAAAGGAAAAAGTTTCATCTACTACTGACATAAAGAAGTTTTAGAGTTTAGATTTGCAGCTTACGCGGGTGAGGTCTGCCAGCTAGCATCCAGCGGGGATCATACGGTGCTTTAGTGGGAGTAAATTCTATCTCTCTGTCCACTGCATCTGTAGTTGCTATAATGGGCACAGGTGAGTGTTTGTCCTGTGAAGACAGAAGAACTATATGAGATGGTCTGAAGGACTGCCCGAGTTATTGTATGATTATATTTAGACCACAAAATGTGTGAAATTCACTCAGTCAGCAGAACCTTTGGCATGTAAGAGAGCCACTGCAGGATAGTAAAGACACCCTCAAAGTCATCTGGCACACTGGTGTGTGCGACTCCATTATTGTACATGATCTGAACTCCGCCAAGCTGGTTGTTGGAAGTATACACCTCTCTGCCCAAAACCTGGAGAGAAACAGGAACTGACACTTTTTTTTTTCTTCTTGGGGACAGATGGACAGACAGCACACCATGCATGAGCCCATTGGTCCTTTAGCTGGATGAGCGAAAAACTGATTAGACTTACTAACCTTGTTTAGAGCACCTGACCCCGTCAGGATAATGTGAGAGTTCTCTACTTGAATCACTCGCTGCCCCAAACGGACCAGATAAGCTCCAATTCCAATAGCACGACACGTCACCTGCAAGAGCACCAACAGGCTTACATGAAAATCTCAGGGACTCTGGCATGCTGCTGCTTAAAATCAGATCCATGTTCTCACCAGACTGATTGTAACGATCTCTTCATAGGCCCGAGAAGATTCTCCAGCAATAGTGCCTGAGCCTCGCAGATTCTCAACACCAAGACCATCGTCCTTCCCAATAATGTCAGTGATGATGTACCTGAAACAGGTGAAAAATCTCTATCATTCAAATCAGTTCAGATTAGTTAGATTTCAG